CTGTGAGCTACATTGGAGTTATCATCTTGGGGGTGCCCTGTTTAGCTGCTGTTGCTGCTAAGGTTAAGCTCAGTCTCCTCCAGGAGCCCTGGGCCCAGAGGGGTTTGGCACTACCCAACCTTAAAAAATACTATCTAGCTGGGCAGATGGTGGTGGTTCATCGTTGGCTAACCACGGATGATAGTGATGCGGCAGTAGTGACTGAGGCAGCATCGGTCGGGTCATACGCAGCCTTGAGCGGGCTGGTTTATAGGGGGGTGGGGGCGCCATACCCTATGACAGTGTCCATGACAGCAACTCTCAAGGCTTGGGATGAAGTGCGCAAACTACTGTATCCTGAAAATACTGATATATCGCCACATACCCCATTATGGAATAACCCGAAACTGCGACACTTTATGGCTATCCCAGACTTCCACATTTGGCCGGAGAGGGGAATCAAGACCGTGGGGGATATGACTTTGACCGGTTCGCTGGCATCTTTCGCAGAACTGCAGGGGAAATTTAAGCTTCCGAACAATTACCTGTTTAGATACTTTCAGCTACGGCATGCCTACCAGACACAAATGGGGGGATCTCACTGCGCACTTAGCGTCTCGCCTTTGGAATCACTCCTTCGGCGAGAGGGTATAAAAAAGTCCTTATCGCTGGTATACCAGGCCCTGTCATCTACAGCGGGTGTCCATAAACTTCCTTGCAGACTGAAGTGGGTAGAGGATGTAACGGATCTCTCGGATGATGCCTGGGAGGAGGTGTGGGATTATCCCTTTGCTCACTTGGTATCCGTTCGTGACCGACTCATACAATTTAAAATCCTGCATAGAGTGTACTACACGCCTGCACGACTGTCAAAAATATACAGAAAAGTGGTTAAGGAGGTCTTTTAACCTATTGTTCACATGGTACTTGAAAACAGGTACAGTAAACGTCTTGTTTACACGAGAGTTGGATCTACGACAGGGCCAGCTCATATTTTAAGGAAACCCTCTTCAATAGGGTATTGGTGAGCAAACCATTTGGGAGGACTAAACAATTGTTCAGGATCATCACAGTCACCATATAAGAGCAGCGGTAAAAGTGAGGGCACAGATAAAGTTTCAGAAGGTTTGGTCATTTTAAAGAACCCATACGTGTGACCTTGCGCAAGGCTTCCGTAGGCAGCTCTAAATGTAAACAAGTAGGCTATGCATCTACAGGGACAGAAATGGTGTCCTTAAGCTTAGGAGAGATGTCAAGAGACATGTCCTCTTCCTAAGTCCTCCAAGCAGCCTCTTACTTGGGGGGTGCAAAGGAAGACAGAAGGGGATCGCCGAGCGAGAAGGAGATGTTTTGGAAATTAATATACACTGCCTGCGCATATTAATCCGCTGCGCTTAAAAGCACAGTTGTATTAAGCTCTTTCGAGCAAGGACCGGAGGTACTTCTATAGAGTCAAGAAAAGTTGATGCTTTCATGGTGGAGATTCTCTTCCAAGAGCCCCCAGCACAGGATCTCTGTTTATTTTTATATATGTCACACAGGAAGTGATGTCACACATCATAGCCAGCCAACAAAACACATGTATACAATAGAAAAGGGAGTGTATGTCTGTATCATAGTGGAAGCGGTGTGCATAGCCCATAAACCTGTGTGCACAGAATTAAACCTGTGTGCACAGCCGCATGTTTTTCTAGCCGCCGTCTTTCCAGACCCACAAACACAATCTCCCATTAACACTGGAGCTACGTTTATCCAGCATTGCTCAGTGAGCAATGCCCAATAAAGTTACTATGATTCTCATGAAGGCGAGTTTATCTGCAGGGACCATGCCATACCAGGGCTCAAAATTTCAAGTCCTGAGCTACTAGCCAGGCCTTAAGAGTTACTCGCCACCAGACCATACCATTTCCAGCGCGCTGATCAGACGCATCAAAAAGGCAGATATGTAGCTTAAATAATACTATGTCCTCAAAGCAAGTGCATGCATGACAGGCCAATAAATCTGCATATTGCACAGGGGCCCTAGCTGGCGTCCATACACTTACTAAGAAACCATTGCTCTGCCACATATATCCACAGGAAGATATCAACTCCAATGGTTTACACTCAGTGCTGCAAACCCGACACAGAGATATGATGACAATATTACAATATACTAAAAACACATCCTAATAAAATTTCCACAACAGTGAGGTATCCCAATTTTGCCCCCAGTGGTCTGAGGAATCCCCACAGATCAGCGATGGGGAAAAGAGGCAGAGCAAACCATGTCCCAAGAAGGGAGAGAACCTTACCCAAAACGTTGTCAGGCTGTGTAGCCATTGAGCCCGCCACCCATACATCCCTGCACCTATGATCCCCCAGTTGTCAGAGCACAATGAAAACCAAAAAAGCATAAGGTGCTAGTTAAAAATACTTTATTAAAGGAGAACTATGGGGTCAGGGCTTTTCCCCATAGTTCTCCTTAGGGTAACACAAATTAGCGTCCTCCCGTTACCCTCAGCTCAGTATACCGCGAGCTACAGCTCGCGGTATTCTGAGACGCCGCAGCGGATCCCGAACAATTGTACCTTCAGGTTTTACACCTTAGGAAACTTCTCCTTTCCCTGCAGCACACTGCCAAAGAGGACACACACACATTAGTCTATCACCAGCTGTCGAACATGGGTGCTAAAAATTAAAAAAAGGCCTCAGTCATGAAGGGGTTAAGAAGAGTGTCAACAGGAACAAGCAAAATTCATAAACAGGAACAAACCAAGGTCAGGAGCCGGAGTGGGTAGTAGTATAAGCCAGGTCAGGAACCAGAGAACGTCAGTTGGATCGGGTCATACGCGCAATCACAATATACAGAGCAGCAGGAATGCACAAGCAGGCAAAACCACGCAAGGGCAATGTCAGACTGGACTGAAGCAGTTTAAATAGTGAGTGGGATGACATCACTCAGAGACAGGAAACTCCCATCTGACTCTCTCAGATGATGCTCTCCTGTTTGGCCATAAGAGGGAGCCTGGGAGTAGTGAGCAACGTTATACAGTCTGCTCAAAGGAGGAATCACAGGTTGGTGGAATGGCAGTGAAGCCTGAATGCTGCAAACCAGTTAAGTCAGGGTGGAGCCCTGACACCAGGGTGCCTAGAATAAAACTAAGGTACTCAGCATCTTCAAGTGTCCAAGGCAGAAACTATGTCACAGTGCCTTGTGCAGAGATTTCTCTTCCCTGTGCTGGTTGTGCAGAGGCACAGCAGTGCCAGTTGCAGTGTGTAGCAAGCTTAGTGCACCAGGAGAAAGAAAATGGCTGGAGCTTCCACAGTTTGCTATGCCAAAGCATTTTTTTAGCCTGATACCCCTCTGTGGAAGACTGTTAGAAATGGGTGATCCCCACATATGGTGGATCCACGTTTCCAGGCTAAAAGAAAGCTAATTCTTCCAAAGGAATAATCATTGCCCTAATTAAGGATTCTATGGGTAGCAAGCTGGAGTCTATAGCTAGGTTTATTAAATGGATTGAGGGATTGATGATCCATCTGGCGCTGGCCTTGGTGCTGTTGTCCCATACAAAACAGAATGGACAAGTCTCTTAGATAACCAGTTCCATCTTCTCTCATTGATCTGACAGATCAAATAGTGCATAGAGTCTAAAATACATGACATTTCAGACCTTGTATTTGCATAGCATTGAAATGTTATACCTTGGTATCTTAGCTATTCACATCCTGTGTACTTGTGCTGGACCCTCTGGCTCAAATGCCAGGAGATAGTTCTCCCATCGCTTTGCCTGATGGTGGTACTTTCCAAGGAAATTGCTTTGTATTCATTGGATGTGGTCAGGGTGGGTTATCTGAATGCTACATCTCCCTTCCAGAAGGCTGAATATTGCATTATCTTGGAAGGTCCCCATAAGGGTATGGCGACTTTGGCTTCCTCCATTTCCTGGTGGATCATTCAGAATTATGCCTTGGATCATAGGGAACTACTTCAGTTGTAAGGAGTGTCAGGAACATATCCCAGCATTTACATTCACACAGACACCTTAATCCAGTTACCATGGAATGTGCCAGGGCAGTTGCTACCCTGTTTCCCTGAAAATTAGACCTAATAATATTTTTGGGAATTGCTAAAATATAAGACCTACCCCGAAAATAAGACCTAGTTGTGACCTTTCCCAGGGCCGGTGGTGGCATAAGGGGGAACCTGAAGAGCCGCGGGAAAGAATCAGCGGTGCCAATGAAGCCAGCACTAGAGGAAGCGAGGCGGCAGCACAGGGAGCAGAGCTGCATAAGCTGATATTTTCTCTATAGCGCCGACTCATGTCACAGGCGGAGTGATCTTAAATGCACTACACCTGCGAGGAATCTATAGTGAAAGTGCGCTTCGCTTTTTCTGGTTACCAAATTGCTCTTGGAAAGGTATGGCCCCCCTGATTGCCCTGATCACCCTATTCTTAACTTTGCCATTTTGGATTATTCAATTTGGATTTGCATTAACTTTGGATTGTTATACATTAAAGAAAAAAAAAAGACATCCCCCGAAAATAAGACCTAGTGTGTTTTTTTGAGCCAAAAAATATATAAGACAGTGTCTTATTTTCAGGGAAACACGGTAATTATCTAGGAACAGCAGGTGTGAAACTTGTGGAACCACCTTGTTCTAGTTACAGTTCATAATCCCATCATAGGTGTTATCCCTCAATTCACAAGGCTGAAAGTGTAAACTGTCAATTCAACAGCTAGAGTTATTAAATTAATAAGTTCAATAAGGGACACAGCTACTACCACACTAGTTTTGTTCCTCCTGTTGCCTATGTAAGAGTTGTGTTGTTCTTACTACTAACTGACCTCTATGTACACTATGTGTACTATGTAACAAGTTCAACAGCTTTTCTTGGTAAAAAAAAATTAAGCCATCAGGCAACCCAAACTTTGAACATCTGGGAGTAAGTCTTAAAAGATTAGCAACTACTTGCTGTGTGGGGGTCTGTCAAAGGCACTGCAAATTAATATTGTATTGGAACATTGCATGTTACCTGATTTGATGGAATATCCGTAGATCCATTACTTAAAGGGTTATAATTCGACCTGAGATTTCCCAAAAACCACCAAGGCAGTCCAGCACCATCCCATTCTTCAAATGAGAGGTCCAGACGAGCTTGTTTGCAAACGGCAGGATTTTCATTATCTAAAAAAAAGCAAGTGATCACCATACAAAACAGAATGGTAAAGTAATTTGTGAATTTATAATTATAACAAATATAGAACCCATACTTTATTTTGCAGTGAATGAGCAACATTATCTGAATTAAATCGACTTGCAAATGTATTATATGCTACATATTTATAACTTAGAAGGTCTTAGCAGAACATACCTTCTGCAAGGCGCTTGCGAAGTGAAGAAGATAAAATTGTTTCATCCATCTCTACCAATTTATTTTCATCAGGATTCTGTCAGAAGAAAAAATGATTATAGAAGAAAAATGTAACACTGATGTAATGGGGATGGACAAAAGAGATGCAGCAATTATGTACCGACCACCTAGTCCAGTAACTGTATATTCGCTTTGCAAATGACATACAGCTTTAAAGAAGATAGTAGGTTATTTGCAGATGTACATAACATTCAAGCATACTTAAGTCAGAATACATTTCTGGTTCACAACTCTGCTCCAGTATACATCTCCTATAGGCTGGGTTCACACCTAGGCAACGTTTTAGTGCAATTTTTATGCGCATAATCAAGTCGCACGTCTTTGTGAGCAGATTCTAGCTCATTGATGTTAATTGGCAGACGTAAGTTAAACACACACAAAAACACAGCAAACGCGCGGTTTCAAGTGTTTCCTATAATATGCCAAAAAAAAAAAAAAGCTCATGTACTTTTTCTAGGGACAGACGTTTTGCTTATTGCAACAAAAAGCTGAGATGTGAACAGGGCCATAGAAATTAATGGGATTTTTTTGAATATTTTTTAGGGCAGAAAAAGTGCCACAAAACGCTCAGTGTGAACCAGGCCTCAAAACACAACATATTTGTACTTTTAGGGAGATGAACATCTGCATGAGCGCAAAGTTCTGAAATGCCATTATGAAACCTTGTGAACTGTGTTAATCGGATGAACTGCTTACCATGTAAGCAAATAATCGCATTAGCATATTACAACACCTTGGCACCAATCTTATGACAGCCTGCACTAATAATCATGTGTCTTTGAAATGGAAAGAACAAGAGTGGCACTTACTATCTAATATGTAGTCACTGTACTCATCCACAAAAACTAGCATGACATTACCTATGTCTGTCCACAGTATTCCAAATATGTGTGAAACATTTAAGTAGGTGACTATTGCATACAAAATGTAACAATGAACTGTCTGAAAAGAGGGTAATAAAAGACCGCTACACTGGTGGCCGGCACAAAACTGCTGCATCTTTAATACAGCTCTGAAAAGGAAGTTGCGAGTATTAAGGAACAGAGATGGGTAACTCTGTCCCTGCTCGATGGACTCCAGTGGAACCTTAACGGTTTGAAAATGCGGTCTGGAGAGCCAACGCTGGCAGGTACAGAGAAGGGGGGCTCTGTACAAGGTCAACAAACACCAGATTTTACCTTGTGATGCTCCAAACCGCCCGAGTCCTGTCTTTGGTCTCTTGAGGAAATCTGGGCAGCATCTGTGAAGTGGATAAAAAAAAACCCTTCCCTAGTAATATATGCACTTTAAATCCATGTAATGTAAAATTTAGCCCTTCGGAAAAAAAAAACTCCAAGCCAAAACCAACTCGTTACTGCAACAGGGAACAAACCACTGCCATAGCACACATAAAACCCTGTAGAGCAGCTGTAAAGCAGATTACAGTAACAGCACAAATATATAGATATTGCATGTATGAAGACCATATATGGTTAGAACTAGTAATGTTCCTATGGAATTTTAACAGTATAAACATATTTACATTTTCCAACAGCCAATTATAAAAAAAAATTGACTTACACAAGGCAAGCAAAGTAAAATGTTATATAGATATTTTTACCTACAAAAGGAGCACAAAAAAGGGAAAAGGTGCCAGCACATATGTACATAACTTGTATACACAATTTTCTTTCTCGTTATGGGTTTAAATTTCATCACTATTAAAAGACAACTTGTGGGTGAGGGGTGTATCGACTGCACAGTTTGGTAAATACCAGGGATGCACCGATACTTTTCAGATACCAGTACCAATACTTGGCATTTTCATGAGAACTACCAGGGTTGCAAGCTGGGACCTGGCTCTGGCGCTCCACCACTGTCATGAAATCATTAGTCTGTATTGTTTTAGAAAAACTGTCACATGACAAACAAAAATGTATCAGTACTTGGGGAAATATCAGTACTTGTAAAAATGGTATTGGTGCATCCCTTTATATTTATAAAAACAAAATCATACATTAAAACAGAGATGTACAAATCCCAGGAGCTCCGTGTGCTCCTTGCAAATTACAGCTGCCTCATAACTTTTGAATTTTTCTCTAGTCTAGTCTTGGAGCTTGAAAAGTATCTGTATCTGTATCTGTACTTGTACTGAGTATGGAACTTGGTATCGGTGCATCCCTTGCAAATACACTACCGGTCAAAAGTAAATTAGGCCTAAAATATTTAGGCTAACAATTCCTACAGGTGTCCCAGCTTTTGTTGATTACTCCCAAGCCCTCTATCTGCATAAAGGCAGTGTTGGACCTTAAGCAATATTTGGAAAGTATAGTACTGCTGAAAGTAGTATATTGCTATTAAAATGGTGAGAACGTGGCAGTTAACAAAGGACAGAACATTATAACCATTCAAAGTGTAGGCTTTTCCTTTAGAGAAATTGCAAAGAAAGCCAAGGTGTCAATGAGTACAGTTTCCTACACCATTAAAAAGGCACTTGGGAACTGGAGGAAACTCGGTCAGGGAAAGATCTGGCAGACCCAATGCCACAACAGAATCAGAAGACAAGATTCTCAGAGTCAACAGCTTGTGAGAGGCGGCTCACAGGACAACAGCTTCAAGCACAGCTTAACAATGATTGAAGTAAGCAAGTCTTAGTTTAAAATGTGAAGAAAAGACTTCAAGCTGCAGGTTTTTTTTTTTCTTCTCCAATACAGTAGAGAAATAACAGTCGTACATAGTGTACAAGAAAGCAGGTCACGGAAATCCACTATAGCAGTAAAGCATCATAGGACAAACATCATAAAGGTCAATCACATTCCATTAGTCGGTATAAGCCTTCCTCGCTAGACCATGTATGATCAGTTAACATTAAACATATAGGCAGACTAACAATCTAGAGAACCAGGTCAGATCCAAGATGGCCGCGGGCAGACGTGCACGTTTGAGAGCACGCTGAGAGCTCCGGCGTCTAACCCAGGAGAATGATAATCAGTAGATAAGAGACGAAGGAGGATTAGCTCTGACAGCCCTGCATAGCCCCAGCTAACAAGGAATGAACAACGAAACTGAAACTAAACTGATACGAGAGGCAGAAGACTCTGCAACGGAGGTGGTGGGGGATAAGAGTGGGAGAGGAGACGGCTGCCAGTAAAGACAAACTACAGGAGATAAGTAATCCACATTAACCCTTTACAACCTATTGCTGTGGACCATTGAACATTTACAATAATCAGCATAAGAAGAAGGTAAATTGAGGGTTAGGTGGTGTGGATAACTGAGCAGCGTACCCCCCCCACCATTTAGATGACATTAAACATATAGCATATCCATATTAAAGAGCGAGTAAGGTGGAAAAAGGTCGAGATATAGGAAAAGGGGGGAGAAGAGAGGAAAAAAAAAAGATGAAAAGGTAGTAGGGAGGGGGCATACAGACTGTTCTCCACGAATCTCCAGCGGGTCTTGGTCACTCCATGTGTTTCTGCCACATGTCTTGTTAGCTCCTATCTATAGGCTTACATTAAATGGATGAGGTCCCATATCTCCACATGTCCATCCCAGATAGGTCAGTTGTCTCCTTGGGTCACCCATGTGTCATTCTTCACACGTCCCCTAGTAGGGCAGTATATTCTTGGGATGTAGCGAATTCTGTCCAGTAAAACCAGGTGCAATTGAACTGGGTAACTCTGTGGTTAGCAGAAGCCAGGAGATCCTCCATTCTGTAGATCTCTCCGACTCTGGTCAGCCACAGTGAGATCGGTGGTGCAGATGTGCGCTTCCAATACGGGGGATGCACACTTTCGCCGCACTGAGTAAATGCAAGAGAGATCTCCTATAGCGGCGTAAGGGCATGGTAGCCAGGTGTAGGAGGTATTCAGCCGGGTCAGACCCAAAACTAACCCCTGTCAGTGTGTTGCAAACCTCGGCCACTTTATCCCAGAAATCCCTGAGAAAAGGGCAGGACCAGAATATATGCAATAACGTTCTTTCTTGTTCATGACAAGGCCAACAGAGTGGTGAGCACTGTGGGAACATTTTATGCAAGGTTTTTGGGACTCTGTACCATCTGGATAGAATTTTAAACCCCATTTCTTGGATAGTGCTGGATATAGAAGCTTTATGTGTCATCTGAAAGATTCTATCAACTTGGGGCGGAGTAAAAGTGGTTTCCAGATCTCGTTCCCATTTAGATATATACACCAGGTGCGGAAGGTCAGGTGGGTCGCAGAGCAAACGGTAGGATTCTGACAGGCCATGGCGGGTGGGACCCTTCTTCAAACAGTTCTCTTCGAAGGGGGTCAGTGGTGGCAGATCCTGCGGACGTCTCACCGTTTAGGTAAGGAAATGGCGCACCTGGAGTGCCTTCCAAAAAGGTCATGGGAGGGTTGGAGCATGTTTGAATGTCTCTACTAGGTAGGAGCCCCATACTTGCACAGAAATGGTATATCTTGAAACTGCCTGATTGTATTACACAGTTGACCTCCTTGTCAGGGGCCGAGATGGGTAGGTCTGGGTGTCCCAGCACAGGGGTCATCAGGGAAGGATATACGTCCGACCTACAGCAAGTCTTATCTGCTCTACAGATGGCCAGCGTGGGGCCGATAGATTTCTTATCTAGCCAGGGTAGGCCCCCCCCAGGGAATTGTGGAACAGGACTGTTCCATTGGGATCCATCGCTTTTCCGACCCCCCCCCGGCACCAATCTAGTATCCTGCCATATGAACAGCCTTGTGATAGTATAAGGGATCAGGGAACCCAATACCCCCTCTATGTTTAGGTCTAGACATAAGCAGCTGGCTAAGACGGTGGCCTTTCTGTGCCCAGAGGAACCTGCCAAATTCTGCCATCACATTTTTCAGAAAGCTAGTCGGGATGTGTATCAGCAGAGTTTGGAGGAGGTAGAGGATCCGGGGCAGAACATTTATTTTGAGGATGCTATTCCGGCCAAACCAGGTGAATATGTTTTTCGTCCAAAGCTGTAGATCAAGTTTTATCTGGGTAAGGAATGGCGTGAAGTTGGCTGGGAAGATCCCTCCTAGGGAAGGTGTCAGGAAGATCCCTAGATATGTAATACTATGTGGAGCCCATTTGAACGGGAAGTAAGAAGAAAAAGGATTCCACTACCGCGTTGGGCACGTTAAGGTCTAAGGCCTCTGGCCTCTGCAAGTTAATCATGAAATTGGACAGGGATTTGTAATGGGCTAATTCTGCAAGAAGGTTTGGTAGGGAGGTAGCTGGGCTCGTCACAAAAAAAAAAAAAAAAAAGGGAGTAGTTCCATCCGCATACCCTGCCACTTTATGGGTTGACCCTCCCAGTGAGTCCAGGAAAGTTCGTGTTGTTTCGTATGTGGCACAAAAGGGGCTTCAGGGTCAGCACAAACAGCAGGGGGGATAGTGGGCACCCCTGACGCGTGCCATTGAAAAGTCAGCAGAAGCTACCTCATTTTAGTCGTACATGAGCTGTCGGATGGGAATATAGTCCATCTGGAGAACTCGATCCCAACCCCCATGTAGGTCAGGGTCGTCTTCAGAAACACAAAGTCTACCCTATCGAACGCTTTTTCGGCACTCAGGGTGAGTGTCGAGTTTTCTTTAGCTTCCCTACCCGGTATGAACCCCACCTGGTCAGCTTGGATTAGTCCTGGCATATGGGGTAGCAGTCTATTAGCTAGAATCTTCGTAAACAGTTTTAGATCTACATTTAGCAGGGAAATAGAGCAGTAGTTAGCACATTGGGTGGGGTCTTTTCCATCTTTCGGTATAACCGTAATGGCTGCCCGTAATGTGTCAGCCGGAATCACGTGGCCTTCTAGAACCGAGTTAAAGGCCTTGAGGAAGGGGTGTGTAAGAAGGGAGGTGAAATGTTTTTAATAGAAAAGCGTGAAGCCGTCAGGTCCCGGTGCTTTATGAGGCAACAAATTGCCTCTGCTTTCCTTCCACCAAAACTTTATGAGGTTTGGACTGTCAATGCTTTATGTAGCTCAACCTCCTCCAGAGGACCAGTTAGCAAGAGACAGGCCTCTTGCGTGAGACGAGGCATGCCAGAGTCCTCAAGATAGGAGTGTATGGCCTGGGCTTATCTGTTAGAGCCTGGCCTGTGGGCGATGGGGATGAGTTATATAACGACTAGTAGAATTCCTGAAAACGTTGCACGAATTCCCAGGATTCCCTCAGGACTCTTCCCGCACTCGAGGACACGACTGTGCGGGGACATGTCTCCCTAAGGGCCCCTGCTAGAATGCCTACCGATTTGATTGCCCATTC